TGTCTAATGTTATTTTGATCAGACAACTAGCCTAAAAGAACCCAAAAGTGTGGGGAATTTTCCCCTACACCTAATAGTATATTCATTTTCCATAGCTGCATAAAGAATCTCCCAAACATAACAACTTGAAATCGCATGCATTTATTATCTCAAAGTTTCTAGGGCTCATAACTGGGCATGGCTTCACGGATTCCTCTGCTCAGAATCTCACAAGGCTGAAATCAAAGTGCGGAGTGGATTGAATTCTTCTCTGTCTGCTTCGAGACTTAATACTGCTCAAATTAAAAAGTTATTTTTATTTCTTCTACTAAAGAGACTTTATTTTTGTAATTTTTTAAATTAAGATACCATGACCTACAAAGTTATTCATGATTGAGTTTCAGGCATTCAGTGTTCCAACACAATTCCACCATGAGTGTCAATTCACCCTCCCCCCATTAGCCCTCCCAGGTTCCCTCCTATGCCCCAGCCTGCCACCTTGGCAGTCATATTTTTTTTAAGTTTGGTTATTGTGATTTAAATCTCCTGCTTTCAGTGCTATTCGCTCTGTGATGCTTCCAGAAACTGTCACTAGCATTTAGAGCTGAGAGTTTTATTCCTCTCTCATAGCCTTTACTCCTCCCAACACCCCCAAACTAGAGGTTGCTCATAGCTTCTGGAGAATATCTATTGGTCTTCATCACACGATGGACAGAGGCAGGAGGAGTTTAAAATTACTATTAAATTTGTTGATCCCGTACTCCAGCATTCACTGTCAAACTGGGCAATTGTTGAAGGTAGGCAAAACAGATCATCCCAACGTTCTCAGATCCTACTCTCCTCAAGCCTCACCCTGGCATGAGATTATTTAGGGTTAAGAGCAGCGGAGATCCTGGAGATAAGGGAGAAGCTCTCTCAGGAAGCAGTCTAACAAGTCTGTGTATAGGGTGGTGTTTTTGATACTGTAATATAGTCAGGAGTGTGATACCACATCATAGTTGCTGTTTTGTATGGATTAGGAGCAAGTCATAGTGCTGCACATGCTCAGATGCAGGAGTGACACAAAGATGTAAAATAGCAGGATGCCAAGATCAGAGTTCATCTTTGAACATCAATTTATTTATCTTAAAAATATATATATAGTTCTGATACCTTCTCTTAGGTCTATTGTGAGATTAATGGATGAAAACTAATACCTGATTTATAACAACTGTTTAATAATAGTTAAGTGCTGTGATCATTGTTATTGTGTTACTGATCTCCCCAAAGCCTAGAAAACATCAACTCTCTTCATTTATTAATTTGCTCATCTTTATGATAAATCTTAATCCGAAAATATTGGGGACGCTCCAATCTCTGGAGGAGACAAACATTCAAACACTCAGACCATAACAATGGGGAAATCAGAGTTAGAAGAACAGAAAACTTTCCTTTTCTTTATTTTTTTTCAGTTAGAGAGGGCTCAGAAGAGTACTCTGATATTTAGAGAGGACATCAAATCAGTTACACACTTCGTCCTTTACAAACCTCATCTAACATCTTCAGCTGTCTGATCCAAGGCTAGATAATCCACTGTCAAAAACATCCTATGGCGTCAGCATACCAAAGACAGTATGTTTTATTAGAATCCCAGTTTCATCACTGAAAAATATGCCGCATACCACTCATTTATTTTCGTTTGTTTGTTTGTTTGTTTGTTTTGGTGCCACACATTGTGGCGCTCAGGGATTACTCCTAGCTCCTAGCTTTGTGATCACTCTTGGTGGGGTCAAGGAACTATACAGGGGCACTGAGGATAGAACCTGGGTCTGTCTCATGCAAAGCAAATGCCCTATCCACTGTACTATCCCTCTGGCCCCACATTATTCTTTTAATGGCAGAAATAACATTAAAATCAAGATAAAGCATAAGATTTCTTTTTTTTTTTAATGTAGGAATACTGCTATCTATTCAGTCACTGATTAAGCTGATTGAATTGTGCATGAACTCCACAAGTTTTCTTAAGCTTAAGATAAAACTTAGCATGAAGATACCAGCAGAGGAACAAAAGCATGCGGGTCCCGGGGCTGAGATCTCCAAGCCTGCTTGGATCAGGGCTGAGCATCTTCCACCCAGATCCTCCATCTTCCAGTAGGCATGGGTCACATCCACCAACTGCCCCCTCCCCTTCCGCCCCCCCGCCCCCCCGCCCCCGCGCCGTGTAATCCCATCAACGGCCAAGACCCAGAGACTATAAAACCCAGCTCCTTACTATCTTATTCTTACTTTGGACAACCTGGCAGGCTACCGAATGTGACCTGCCCACACGGCAGAGTCTGGCAAACTCCCCGTGGCGTACTCAATATGCCAAATACTAGTAACAATGATGGGTCTCACTCTCCTAATCCTGAAAGAGTCTTGAATATGGCACTTTTGAAAATCTCAGGATTAGGGCAAAGTAGACGTTACTGGTGCCTGCTTAAGGCAATCGACTAACAACAGGATGATCGTGATCATGATCGTGAAGATAAAACTTAAGAAATCTAAATTGGTTGATTTAGATTTTATGGAAAAGAAACTAGATAGGGCATATATTTATTTACATAGTTTGTATTTTAATTGGGTTGGAGCAATAGCACAGCGGGTAGGGCATTTGACTTGCACACGGCCGACCTGGCTGACCCAGGTTTGATTCCTCCATCCCTCTTAGAGAGCCCAGCAAGCTACAGAGAGTATCTCTCCCACACGGCAAAGCCTGGCAAGCTCCTGGTGGCGATTTGATATGCCAAACACAGTAACAAGAATCACAATAGAGAGGTTACTGGGCCCGCTTGAGCAAATCAATGAACAATGGGAGGACAGTGACAGTGAGATTATTTTGATTAATTCAGGATAAAGTCCATTAAAGCAATAGAGACTACTTGGTGAGACGGAAGGAGACCAAAATAAGGATTTCTACTAACAAGGAACAAAAAGACAATGTGGTTATTTACTCTGTCACAAGGGCCATCTGGAACTTTGCCTGCACTTGTCCTTCATTTAACTTAAAGCTTTCTTCTCAGTTTCTTGACTTCCTGTCCCTCCCCACACCTATTAACAGCCCCATCACCAGACCTTCAGCTGGTGCTGATCGGACATCTCCTCTCAGAATCTCAGGGAGAGCTTTACTGAGGGTGCAGCAGGGCCTCTGCCAGAAAACAGTCACTGGTCACTCTCCAGAGATCTGGCTACCTGGCCTAGCACAAATGAGAATCTTCTCTCTGTCCTCTCTGAGTATCTTTAAATTGCTCTCCGACTTCTCAAGCTTTATCTTAAACTATTTAAATAGATGACTTTACAAAGAATCGATTTGAGGGCTGGAGAGATAGCACAGGGGGTAGGGTGTTTGCCTTGCACGCGGCTGACCATGGTTCAATTCCCAGCATCCCTTATGGTCCCCCAAGCACCACTAGGAATAATTCCTGAGTGCATGAGCCAGGAGTAACCCCTGTGCAATGCCAGGTGTGATAAAAAAATTAATTTATTTGAGTCCCATTGGGGATAGCATGGCTTTCAACATCTAGCATGGTTCCTGAGGCTGATGGTAGGTCAAAATTTTTCAGTGGCTAAATCTGTCTCATAGATTCACCTGTGGAAGGAAGTAAGATGTTTTTCAAAGGATCTCAAGTTTGGATCTATAATAATAGCATTATTTTCTGAAGTGGTGTTTTGGTCTTATTTCCCCCCATAGTACAAAAGCATCGTGAACACACACACACACACACACACACACACACACACACACACACTACCCAAACACACACTACTGACTGCACAAAATGCATACTGGGTTTAAGGCTTATTTTCATTTTTTTCTCCTACATCTGGAACATATACAAAGATAGAGTACAGTTTCTTCAAAGTAGTTACAACTATAGGTTTCGTCTAGTGTTTATTCCCACATGAAATCAAATGGATTAGATTTTAACTTTTTTCATTTGATATTCATGTTTCTAAAGCCTAGGGAGTTTTTACTAAGGAAGGCTTTTCAAGGTCTGGGGATACTGAGCAAGCAAAAATGAGCTGTGAAGTTCTTTTAATTATTGGAAACTCGAGTTGGATATTTGATATTCTTAATTTATTCCCTGCCTACTTCTAAAAAGATTTGAGATGATCTAAAATAAAGCAGAGAGGAGGCTGGAGATAGGAAAGGAAAATGAGAGAATGAGAATTTTATAAGGAAAAATGTTAGCGACTAATTCAACTCCAGCAATTAGTTGGCATCTTTGGCTTCTAAACATCATATAAATTTTTTTTACTGAACATCTGCCCTGGTGCTCTGGCCAGTTTCTAGAAACTCTTTATAATGAACTCTAGCCTGGAAAAGACACCCCAGGGAAAGGCTCACTAATGTCTAGAAGAACAAGTTTTTTAATGTTAATTCAAAATTCTCAAATTTATATCGCTAAATTTACTTTTTTATGCTCTCTTTTTTAGTACAGGTGAATCTGTCATAGTGGTTTGACTTGTTTTTTTTTTTTACTTTACAATGTTTTATAAGCAATAAACAGACATTCTGTAAAAACCAGTAACATACATCTCTTTTCAGCAATTTCCATTTACAATAATTCCAATTAATGATGGATTTACTGTGGCATGATCTCATATAAATCAAAGATCTGTAGATTATTTTATTTTCTACTCATGGAACTCGTACTTTCAATAAGACAGAACCTGGCTATTGCAGATGCTAGTTAGTGGAAGAATCCTTACACCAACTAGAAAAGGAAAGGATGGGGTTGGAGCGATAGCCCAGTGGGTAGGGTGTTTGCCTTACACACGGCCAACATGAGTTCGATTCCCAGCATCCCAAAGAGTTCCCGGAGCACCGCCAGAAGTAATTCCTGAGGGCATGAGCCAGGAGTAATCCTGTGCATCACCCGATGAGACGCAAAAAAGAAAAAATAAAGGAAAGGACAATCAGCATTAGTATTTATCACTTTGCCCCTCTTTCTATCTTGATAATATTATCCATATGGCTCCAAAACTCAGGAACACTGGTTCTAGGTGTGCCTGCTACAGATGATCATCTTTTTGAATGCCACCCTGAGCTCTGGGCTCCGGAAGGCATAAATGAAGGGATCAACGACAGCATTGCACATGATTAACATGCCATTCACCTGGAAGAGGGACATGTAGCAGGCACAGTAAGGATTATTTGGGCAGAAAGTCATTAGGAGAATATGAAGGACAAAAGGGGCCCAACAGAAAATGAAGACGCCCAGCAGGATGGTGAGTGTGATGGCTCCTTTCATATTGGTGCCCGGGAGAGTGGAGATCTTCCTGGCGTGGGAACGAGCCAGCAAGAACATGTGCACATAGAGACACAGGATGAAGACCAGCATCAGAGGGAACAGTGACGTGAAAGTGATCACTGTGGGGACGTGATGGGAGAAGACCACCATGACGATGCCGGTGCCCGTGCAGCCTGCCCAGATGATGCTCAGGATGATGAAGGCGCGGCGCGTGGTCACAATATTGTGGTACTGCAGAGCGTGGAAGATGGTGATGTACCGGTCAGCAGCGATCACGGACAGGCTGCAGATGGAGCCGAGCAGGGAGAGGATGAACAGGGAGTCAATGATGTCATCGGCGGTGGTTTCGAAACTGCCACGCGGCTTGAGATAACCCATGTTTCTGACCATGATCAGGATATTTTCCAAGATCTTATACAGGCTGCCCAGCATATCGGAAATGGACAAACTGCAAATGAAGAAGTACATAGGGGACTGGAGATTCTTATTCTTGATCACGGCCAGAAGGACGAGCAGATTCTCCAAAACCCCAATGATGGAGATTGTGAAAAAAATCTCTTCTGGCAAAACCACAGGAGGACAGTCTGAATTGTTCCTGACCGTGTCATTGATATTTTCATAGAGATTGATGATGTGCTTCATTTCTCCAACTGTGGTTCAGACTGAAGCAGTACTTGGATGTGACAGAAAATTTACTTGATAGTTTAGAATGCTCTCTATCTTTTCTTTTCCCTTTTATGATACTTGCTGGATATCTGAAGTCAAAAAGAAATACACAGCCACCTAAAAAAAAAGTGAAAGTAACAATAGTTGTATGAAAGATTACAAAATAAAAACAAGTTATGGTACCTTTAAGGAAACTCTTATGTAAATGAAAATAGGCATTTTACTATATTGTATTAAATGGTTTTAATTTCCTTATTTATATGGGTTAAAATCAGATAGCAATCAAATTGTTTTTCACTGATTTATTTTCTAATCATTCTATTTGCTACTTCTTTAAGGTTTGTTGGAGCAAGCAACATGAAGTAAATTTGTTATGTGCCTAAGGGTGTTGGAAGGGAAACTGGGGACAATTGTGGAGGGAAGGTCACACTGATGGTATTGGAACACTCTATGCCTGAAACAACTGTATTATGAACAATTTTGTAAATCACGGTGTTTTAATTTTTTTCTTTTGGGTCACACCCGGCGATGCTCAGGGGTTACTCCTGGCTCATGCACTCAGGAATTGCTCCTGGCGGTGCTCAGGGGACCATATGGGATGCTGGGAATCAAACCTGTGTGGGTCATGTTGGCTGCGTGCAAGGAAAATGCCCTACCTGCTGTGCTATCGCTCCAGCCCCAATAAAAATAATTTTAAAAATAGAGATTACCACTTATTTCTTCCCCCTCCAAAAAATTTCCACTTCACTGACAAAATATAAAAATAATTTAAATACAACAATTCATTACATTTTACTATCTTCCTGAAAAACATCCTTAGTGAAATTTTGAGCTTAGTGATTACATAATGTCTCTCCTTTGTCCTTCCGTTTCCTTCCCATCCTCATAAACACATTTGCTCAACACCCAAAAGTTCATGGCTTTCTTATATACAAATAACGAAAGAGAAGAAAGAGGCATTAAAAAAAATCCTGTTCACAATAATACCTCAGAAAATCAAGTACCTCGAAATCAGCTTAACCAAAGAGGTGAAGGACCTATACAAGGAAAATTTCAAAACACTACTTCAAGAAATAAAAGAGGACACTAGGAAATGGAGACACATCCCCTTCTCATGGATAGGGAGGATTAACATTATCAAAATGGCAATACTGCCCAAAGCACTATACAAATTCAATGCGGTCTCTATCGGGATACCCATGACATTTTTCAAAGAAATAGACAAAACACTCCTGAAATTCATATGGAACAATAAACCCCCATGAATAGCTAAAACAATCCTTGGGTAAAAGAAGATGGGTGGCATCAACCTCCCCAACTTCGAACTGTTCTACAAGCAGTAGTAATTAAGAGAGCCTGGTACTGGGCTAGAAACAGACCTACAGACCAATGGAACAGAGTTGAATATCCTGTCACAGACCCCCAAATATATGGCCACTTAATCTTTGACAAAGGAGCAAGAAATGTGAAGTGGAACAAGGAAAGCCTCTTCAACAAGTGGTGCTGGGAAAACTGGATAGCTACCTGCAAAAAAATGAACGCTGACCTCTGTCTAATGCCAGGCACAAAAGTCAAATCAAAGTGAATTAAAGACCTCAATATCAGACATGAATCCATAAGGTACATAGAGGAAAATGTAGGCAGAACTCTCCATGACATTGAAGCTAAAAACATCTTTAAGGATGAAACAGCACTGACCATGCAAGTTGAAGCAAACATAAACAAATGGGACTACATCAAACTAAGAAGCTTCTGCACTTCAAAAGAAATAGTGACCAAAATAAGTAAAGAGCCCACAAAATGGGAAAGAATATTTACCCAATACCCATCTGATAAGGGATTAATATCCAGGATATACAAGACAGTAGTAGAATTCTACAAGAAAAAAAACCTCCAACACCATCAAAAAATGGGGAGAAGAAATGAACAGAAGTTTCCTCAAAAAAAGAAATACAAATGGCCAACAGGGACATGAAAAAATGCTCCACATGGCTAGCTATCAGGGAGATGCAAATCAAAACAACAATGAGATAACATCTCACACCACAGACTGGCACACATTCAAAAGGACAAAAGCGACCAGTGCTGGCGTGGATGTGGGGAAAAAGGGACACTTTTTCATTGTTGGTGGGACTGCCCACTAGTCCAGCCTTTCTGGAAAACAATATGGACAGTCCTTCAAAAACTAGAAATTGAGCTTCCATATGACCCTGCAATACCACTTCTGGAAGTACATCCCGAGGATGCAAAAAAGCACAGTAGAAATGATATCTGTACCTATATGTTCATTGCAGCACTGTTCACAATAGCCAAAATCTGGAAACAACCCAAGTGCCCTAGAACAGATGACTGGTTAAAGAAACTTTGGTACATCTACACAATGGAATACTATGTAGCTGTCAGGAGAGATGAAGTCACGAACTTTGCTTATAAATGGATAGACATGGAGAGTATCATGCTAAGTGAAAAGAGTCAGAAAGAGAGGGACAGACATAGAAGGACTGCACTGATTTGTGGAGTATAAAACAACGTAACATGAGGCTGACACCTAAGGATAGTAGATACACAGGACAGATAGATTGATCCATAGCTGGAAGCCTGCCTCATGAGCAAAGGGGAGAAGGCAGTTGGAGTAGAGAAGGGATCGCTAAGAAAAAGATGGCTGGAGGAATGGGTCAGGATGGGAGATGTGTGTAGAAAGTGGATAAAGGACCAAACATGATGACCTCTCAGTGTCTGTATTGCAAACCATAATGCCCCCAAATAGAGAGAGATTATGGGGAATCATGTCTGCCATGGAGGCAGGGGGAGGTTGGGAAAGGGGGGTATACCGAGGATATTGGTGGTGGGGAATGTGTTCGGGTGGAGGGATGGGTGTTTGGTCATTGTGTGATTGTAACCCAAATATGAAAGCTTGTAACTATCTCACGGTGATTCAATAAAATTTTTTAAAAAAATAAACGCATTTGCCTGTGAGATAGATGAAAATGAGAAAAAGTGAAGGAATTGAAAGCAAGTGCAGAAATAAGAAAGCACATCACAAGCTATCTTTGGCTTGGAGTCAGCAGCTGGTTTCAGTGGATGTAGGAACTGTTGAGGTTTTCTTGCACTCACTGCTCATCTTCCTGAGTCACTGCCTGACTTCTGTTTGTCTCTCTCCAATTCAACTCTGCTGCTGCTCTCCTTTCTACCCTTTTGCATGTCTTAATTTGTTTACTTCAAGTGATCTGATTCTACAAAAGTTTTTACCCATTTGCAGAGCATGCAATTTGTTGGGCAATGTCTATTTCTCAAACCCTAACTGCTTTTCTATTTTAATATTCCATGGAAACTTGCCTCTGGCTAAACATAAGGGGTCAGCACCCCAGCCTCCACTTACTTCCTCATCTCTTCCACTCTGGTTTCTATGATATTAACAGTCTGATTTTGTATCCTAGGATATAGAAGTTATATATAATTTGTGAACACTGTATATTCAAACTTGTTTTCTTTCAATTTGGCAAATCCAATAACTATTATTGCTGTTCAAATACTCGTAAGAAACAACCCCACTTTAACACTTTTTCAATGTAAAAAGCAAAGTTAAATATAATCCATTATATTTTACAATATAAGGGTGGTTGAGATGGCAGGGGGGAAGCTATAATAATATAGAATCCCCCCCCAATTTAGTGGTAACAAGAAAAAAATAATCCCTTTGTGGAAAAAATTCTTAGCACCATATCTAATGAGTTCAGGTACTTCCAAGGCCCTTTCTGTAATTCAATGCCCTGGTTTTTATAAATATTAATAGGGATATAATGTAAAGTAAACAAATCAGTGGGCTTTGAATTGGAAGTCCTCTGTACTTAAGCCGATTGTAAGAGAACAAAAGTACAGTGGTATAGAATTGCTTCTCTGACTTTAATATCAATACTAGCATTATTCCAAATTGTAGTGTACCCCACCAACCACAAAGGGTTGACTTTGGGCTGTCTGTCAATAATGCACTGTAGCACTGTAGCACTGTTCTCCTGTTGTTCATCAATGTGCTTGAGCGGGCCCAGTAATGCCTCCATTGTGAGACTTGTTGTTACTGTGTTCGGCATATTGAATATGTCACGGGGAGCTTGCCAGGCTTGGCCATGCGGGCGAGATACTCTTGGTAGCTTTCCAGGCTCTCTGAGAGGGGCGGAGGAATTGAACCTGGCTTGGCTGGGCCAGCTGCGTGCAAGGCAAATGCCCTACTGCTGTGCTATCGCTCTGCAAAAATAGTAATTCCAGAAAGCCATATGAAAATAAATTCAATAATAAATCAAGTGGTAGCTTTCACAATTCATTCTACAACAATCCATAATATTGGTGTCTAAAGAGTTCTAATTCAGTGCCAATAGTAAGTAGACTTGCAAAATGGAAGGCACCAGGTGTTAGGGTAGGAGGTCAAAGAAATAGTTCACTAAGTGGATGGAAGATTATAATGTAAAGTTATTTACTATAAACCTGGAAGCTTTTTAATGTGCTCAATTATTTTTTGAAGTCTTTCACATTATCTGTCCAAGCCAAACATCTATTCTACACAAGTCAAACATCTGGAAGTGAAGATATGAATTTGCTAGGGCTGAGATTCTCTGACTGTGAGATTATAAAAACCAAATCAAAATAGGTTAGTAGACACTCTCAAAACTACAGACGTTCTTCCAGTAGCTACCAATGTTGAGTGGTACTGGGTGATGGGCAGGAAGTAAGATTGGAGAGCTCAAACACGGAAACCAGGTCAACCTACAATCTCCATCTTCTACCCTGCCCACTTCCATTCTCTACCTTCTGTTTATTTTTATAAACCTTCTGTTTATTAAGCTTTCATTCTGCAGAAAGTCTAAAAAAACTCTTCCTCTTTTACAGAGTAGCTTCCAGCATTTGGAGGACCTTATCCAGAGCTGAAACCATAATAATAAGCAAAATATCGAAAAGATGCTTCAGAGGAAATATCTGAGCAG